ATGGGCAGCGCCCACGGGGGTGGGACGCGGGGGGACGCGCCCCACGGCCGGGGCAGGCACGGCTCCGCGGGGCTCCCCCTGCCCCGCTCCGGCAGCCAACCCAGGGGGAGGCAGTCCCAGCGAGCTCCCCGGGGAGCTTTGAAACATCAGCGCACTCTGGAGCGTTTAACAGCCCATAAAACTCAAACGCAATTAATATGAATAATTGCCGAACCGTGTTTATTACGGCCAGAACACGAGCAGCGTTAGCTCTCCTGCTTTACAAATACTCATAGTCACTTTGTAATAATCTGACGCTGTTTATGAATTTGCATCCCCAACCTCTTCCCGTGATGAGCCCCAGGACACAGCGGTGGGCAAAGCAGCGGAATTTCTTCTGCTGCCTTTTGCTTGTCACCCTCCAACATTTCCAGATGTACAATAACCTCTGCTCCAGCAGCACACAGCCCAACACTGGTGTGCAGGAACACGCAAACGGGGGCTTCAGCCTGGTGGGGTTACAGTCCAGGATCAGGCAGACACACAGTCTGAGGGCAGCGGCTAGGACACCCTCACTGCAGAACAGAGGACATGGAGCACAGCCACATAATTGCATATTATGTTTCAGGAGGTTGCTGTTGTCTGATACATGGCAACGAAAAATATTTTCAGGCCTAAGCTAGTTGTTACGAATCTAGAAGAGCTGTAGCCAGAAGAGACACAAGGAACACCAGGAGAAGCTACAATGCTGTGTTTTAATCAACAGCACATCTCTCCTTATCCCTCTCCAGTTAATACAGTAATAAGAAAAAAAAAAAAAAAAGAGAAGGGAAATGAATTCTGCTTTGTCTTGCAACACATATTTCAGAAACTGTGCCCCAAGACATCATATGAAAATTTGCAGCAATTACAAAGCAAAATGTTTTAGAGACCCATTGCATTTTAAGCCATTTGCTCGGTTAAATCAACTTTAATGTACTCAGATTTTAGCAGCAAACAAAGCCCAGGTACTGGTTCTATCAATTATTCTTTGAAGCTACTTTAAAATAGCAACGTTGGTCTTACTGGTTGGATTTTATTTCATTTCATTCTAATGCCATATGTTAGACCTAGATGAAGACAACAGCAAAGCAGCTAGGTGGCACAAGAGCTCAGTAAACCTGGGCAGGAGGTGGGGACGAGCCTGGGAGAGTCCCCGGGGCTGCAGAGCCAAAACCCCTCTCAGCCCCGCGGGAGAATCGGCAACATTGGGGGGCAAAGGGGGTTGCAGCTTAACCCCCGACCAACCAGAGCTCCCCATCCACTTTTTAGGCCTGCCCCTAATCAAGTTCCAGGGTGACAGACAGACAGACAGACACTGCACCTGAGCCACAACCTCCTAGTTGGGCCCTGTCTCATACAGGCACATCTGCTGACCCTGGCCCTGCTGTCTTGTGAAAACAGCTGTGGGCCAAACCCCTTCTTGGGCCTTTTCCCCCCCAGCTCTCTTTTAAATTGTACAGAACAAAACCATGCCAGAACACCACACAGCACACTGCTGGCAGTGCACTTGTGGGCTGCAGGCTGGCCAAGGGAGCAACCCCCGCCTTGTGCGGTGCGACTGCCTCGTGGTTCCAGCAAAGGCTAGCTCTGAGCAGGGTTTCTCCTCGGGTGTCCCCAGTATTTCAGAGTGGCAGCAGACAGGTCACGGCTGCAGACGGCTGGAGAGAACACAGACAACTTGATCCAGCAGCAAAATGGAACAAAATTGGAGAAGTCAAGAGACAAGCAGAGCAGTTTGAAATGCATCCATGGGAACTTCAAAGCAAACAGCAAAGCCAAGCTTATTAGGCTGTCCTGAAGACTGGCTTAAGAAAAGGTCAAGCAGGATTTCAAGGCACTTTGCAGTAATTTTCCTCAGTTTACCACCGTGCAATGAGTCCCCTTGCAGATGAGTCCCCAAACAGCTCTGTTTGTAGGACCTCTGCAACACCACAGATGCACGTAAAGAAATACATCTGCTCCTGCTAGGCCCTCGCATGACCAGTAGCAGCTGGCTCTTTGGAGGACAGCTAAAGACTTGGGAGAAGTTGAAGGCCTGAAAGATCTTCTCCTGAAGGTCCAGAGAGCAGGTGACTGACTGCAGGAGAGTGACTGAAATCCAATAGCTTTTAAAGCATTTAGTTAAACTGAAATGCAGCCTATCTCTGTGGAGTTTAAAAGTAATGCCTTATTCTGCTTTAGCTCTAATCTGTTCCTAATGAATTTAAAACAAATTAACGTTAAGCCAGATTTACATCTGTTAAGAAGGATCCACGTAGCCTTTTGCTCCAGGATTGCCCTATTGATTTTATCAAAGCATCCACTACTTTAAATGGGTGGAGCAGTTTCCAGAAACCAACTGAAGAACTAAGAACAAGCCAATTCATACAGGTATTCATTAACCCTCCTCCAAGGAGTAGGAAGCTTTAAGATACACCTCAACTCACAGCAGGGAGGGAAAGAGCAAGGATTACTAAACCAGAAGTTGCTCAGATGCCATGCCCCTTGCTGCTGCCCTTGGAGCAGTGACAGGCACACGGCCAGCCGTGTCGGATGCGTTGAGTCACTGAGAGAGCTGCCTTGGGAGTCAAGCACGGCATCAGCATGTAAAACAGCATCCAGAGATTAACTGCTGTCCCAGTTTCTCATAATTAAGAAAGATTAACAGATAGTTAGTTCCAGTAGCCACCAGTATTAGTAACTCAGATTTGTTTCCAGTAAGACTATAGATCAAGTGGCTGAGAGAGGTTTGGGCAACAGCAATTGCCTTTAACAGCACTCTTGATGTACAAATTCAAATAATTTATGTGCTTCAAATCCATTTGTTATATACACTGCACCACTGCTGTTCACTTGGCATTTAAATTTGCAGTGAGGGATGAGATCTCAAAGGACATAGTGCTTCAGGCTGTTTTACCCAGGAGCCCTGAGCATCCACCCAATTCTGTACTGGGCTGACACTGGTTTACTTGACTGAAACTGGGATTGAGTGTGAGGGAAAGGAGAATAAAGGGATGAGAGCAGGAGGGACAGACAACCAAGCACTACCAATCTGTCTGAATATGGATTATGGGAGTCTCAAGATAACAGTAGGCACAAACTTTTGCCAAGATGACAGAAATAGCTACTGCGGTTCTTTGTACTCACAGCAACAGCTGTTGTTTCCTAAGCATTCTTCTTACACCTCTAAAACTGCAGGACACTCACCCTGGAAGCAGAGAAGAGCAAGGAGAAACATTCTTTGCTCCAGACACATGGGTTTGCATCCTCACCTCCCCAGCATTCAGCATATATTCGGTTCAACACCTGTCACACCTGTTATGCTGAAGAAATTTAAAGTAAGTTTCAGCCACAAATAGCAAATATTAATGGATCTGACTCCACAATTCAGAGTAATGATTGCCACACTGTCTTCTACAATAGCAGAAGTTACCTTTCTTCCCACCCAAATTTACATTTACATCTCAATTTTTTAATATAAAGCTAACCAGTCAGTGTCTGGGAATTAAAACAAGTAGAGATAACTTCTAGGAACAACTTTGAGCCAACAGTTTTGGCACAGAATCAAACCTCTTAAACACCCAGATCTGGTAGACATAGGCAATAATTAATAAAGAACCTGCCAGCTTGCAGCGATCTTCCCTCACTAAACCAGCAACCTCTGGGCCGCTCCCCCCAGTGCTGTGTTCTCCTACACAGCCTTCTTTGACAAGGCTTTTGATGGAGTGGGTGGGAGAAAAAGGGGAAAACCTGCTCTTTTCACCAAAGACAGTATGAAATTACATACCCGTCTTCACAGTAACAACATTAAAGGAGTATTCCTTCTTCTTCCAATTTCAGCTAAATGCATTGAGACTCCTACTGAAGTGGAAGTATTCTTTACTGTCAAAGCTACAGAGACCTGATATTGATTGTGACAACTGAATAGACAACAGTTTCATGTAATGGTATAAAGTTCTCTAAAGGTCTGATTCATTTAAACATGTTAAACATTTTGTTCCAACTTCAATTTTAATCTGCAGAACCCAGCTCAGACACATCTGCATTCAGCATTTTCCACTGAAGAGCTGTCAAGTCCCAACCCTTTCAAAAGTCATGGCCCATCCTTTCTGAAGATAATGAGATCAAGGTCAGTCTAAACCTATGACTCAAACACCTTACCATGCTCTTCAGGAAAAGACAAGTTGAATTCAACACAATTTACAACTCACAAGGGAAAAACAGTCTTAGATTTACCAATCAGTAAGCTTTCATTCTGGAAAGATTTAAGCAAGACCCAAATCCCACTAACATGATAAAGTGCCTGTGGATGTTCTTTGGGGAACTTCTGCCCCCCCAATCCAACAGTTACTCCTTAGCATCCAAAGCAGAATTACATGCACTTCTTGAAAGGTGTTGAAGTCTGGCATAATATAGTGTCAAGCTCCTACACAGTGACAAACAACTGATCTCTTCAACCTAAACAAGACTTAACAGGCTGCAAAGTGTTTCAAGTGGCTGGAGTAGCATGAAGCATTTTGCAAACCAGTGATCAAGTTCTTGGACTGAGTGCTGACAATGCATGAATGAAGAACAGCAACAAGACTTAACAAACATGATTAGTATTATCCAACTGCTTTGTTATAAATACATTATATACATTCAAACATCACATTAAAATATTATTTCATTACACCAGAAGAGATTAAGGCTTTATATTATTTACAGAAACAAGCAAGCACCTTACAAAAAAAAACAAACAAAAAAACCCACCACCAGTCATTGACATTTCCCTTCTAACATTACAAGTTTGATACCTTGAGCTCTTGAATACAGCTATTTGCAATGTGCCCAACGCTAAAACTATTTTAAACATTTACTGTCAGGATAGGAAACACTTAATAGAAGACTCATCAGTGAGCACTCCACATGAACAAACACAAGCAGGTGTTGTACTGGGTTCCCTCCCTCTCCTCAGAGGTTTGTTAAATTGAAGGCTTATACAGAAACAGTTTGCTCAATTCCATGTAGAAAGTAGAACAGATTTATTTTAAGGGAAACTGAAGACACTTGAGGATTTGTGGCCCACAGGTGTAGTGGGATTCTCAAAGTCTGTTCCACATTACATCAATTATTTAACATGACACCAAAGACAGAGCTTTAAGTTTATCGATCACTAAGTGCATTGAACAGCGATGATTTTATAGGCTTCCATTACTCTGACACACTTTTCATACAGTGTATTTGTACTCAAACACCAAGTGACAAACTCTTGTCACCATTCCCCCTGTAGGTCTTAGGCAACAAGCTACTTTTTAAGTGTTCAATAATGTTGATACAACACATGTTTACTACGCCACCATGTACCAATGGAGTGACTGTCCTGCCTTCTGGCTTGCCTGATAGCTTTATGAGATACAGTGATGAAGTATTTTCTAAGATGTAAGCAGACATGGCTAAACAAAAAGGTGCTCAGTAAGAGTAATCATCTTCATTTCAAGTATTGTTTTAAGAATTAGTTCTTTTCATTATAGTCTGTGTTAGCACTTTTTAGTTTGTGCTTTAGAGTCTGTTATTTCTTTGCAGGTCTTGAATTTGGCTGATGGCTTTATTTAAAAAAAAAAAAAAAAAACAAACCCCAAAACATTGGCAACAAGTTAAGGATTGCAGAAGACTGGCAAAAGTTATTTGATTTTCTGAGCCCATTTCATGTCATCTGCTCTTGGCTTCTCCCCCGTAACTCCTTGGATAATGTTCTCCAAACACCTCCAGAATCCTATCTTCTCTAATGGATAGTTCAGCCAACCTAAGTGATTGCAAAGGAAAAAAAGGATTAGTTTGTCACAGCATCCAAAGTTCAATGTCTTGTAATGTTTATTTAATAACATTCTTTAAATTAATCACAATGTAAACGTAAGGGGTGTTCAGAAGTGGACTAGTCTCTCTGGACACTGCAAAGCTTTCAAAAAAGGAACCACCAAGTTGAATGATTTGTGTTAGAAGATAAACATTTGTATTAGTAGAACCTTAGATTTCATATTGAAATTTAAGCAACCAAACAAAAGCCCCAACCCAACAACTTCAGCTGTTTTCCCCATCAACAAAGCCACCCCAGCTTCTTCCCGCGTTTCTCATTAGGTGGTACAACAAGAAAGTATATACAACATGGCTCTGAAATCTCAATTACATTATCAATGCCACAGTTTCTAGAAAAAATAAATATTTTAAAAAATAAAAATCAAGATTTCTGTTTGGGACCTAAGCACCACTAACTAAGGCTCAGCAAACCGAACAAAGTTTTTTTCTTAAAGCCTCAAGTTTAGATAGTTCCAACATCAGTTTTCATTTTTAAGGTACTTAAATGAATTATGCTCTCACTGGGCAAAATTAAAGCTAACTGATTGCTAATGGAGCCTGTGATGGGGAAATCTTCGTGTAGTACCGTGCTGCATTTAACCGTAGCTGCTGTTAGACACGTCCTGGATTACGAGGGCAGCACCAATGGCAACAGTCCCGAAGCTGTGCAACCCAGCTAACAGGGCACTTCTGCTTCCAAGTGACCAGGAAGGCTGTAGCATGTTGACAGGGGACAGGCTTTTACCATTTTATGTAAAAATGGTGGTAAGCACCATCATGTTCTGCAGGCAACAAGAGTTCAGTGCATCTTTCCCAGCCTACAGATTCAGGGTATTCTGAATGCTTTGTTGAGATGTTGCACTGTACAAACTGTGAGGCTGGAACTCACACAGTCTTAATAGGCCTCACCCTGAATTCAGAAGGGCTTTATGTCTCACTTTTATGATATTAATTAGTACATTAACTTGATTTTCTAATACCGTATTTTGATGCTAGCCTAACTACATATAACTGACAGAAGAATGCATGAAGAGGCAACTTCACAGGGTTTTATTACAATGTATTATATAGTAACTTTAGGTCTCTGTTTTACCAAATATTGTAAAACTAGGAAAACCAAAAGAAATCAGCTCTGGGAAATGTTATTTCCCTGTAGAAGTTTTCCTACAACCAAGAAGAGATGGATGTACACAGGATTATATTAGTTATATTTCTGTCTGCCTCCTCACTTCTACCCTAGTAGAAGGAGAATTGGGGTTGCAGAAACACTTTGCTCCATTGGAAAATTCAAGAATACAATTTATCATGCTGTGTTATGCCAGACTAGTATGGTGTGAGCACTTACAGAAAGCATAGCATGAACAGAAGCACATGCTATTTGTTTTTTTTAAATGAGAAAAAAAGCAATTAGACCAAGACTGTTAATAACGGTCAGACAAACTTTCAGGACATAGTAGGAATGAAAAAAGTTCTTAGGGCAGCAAGGTTTTTGCCACTGTTTATCAAGTCAGGCTTCTTAATTGTACTGTGTTTTAACATGACATTCTGGTTATGAGAACTAGATTTGTTTCTTACCAGCGTTTTCAAAACAGACATAAACTGTTTGTCAAAGCCAATGACAGAAGGAAGAACCAGAGTGGTTTATTTCCAGCTGTTTGATTAATCTGATAACTTATTCAGGATTGTGCTACACTGGTGACTGAGTATACCCGCCTGTATGGCGGCCATAAAATTGAATATAGATATAAGAGGAACCTGAAGTCAGTTTTCTGCAAGTCTGTCCACTCCACTGCCCCATATCAGAATGCATGAATGCTAAAAATCCAGAAGCCTTGCTTTAGTAATGAGCATTCAAGGCAAGTTGCACTTGCAGATGATATGCTCTTTTGAAGCAGCAGCTTTAAGACTAATGAACAAAACACATTACTAGCATGAGATTACCAAAATATGCAATTGGATCTCAGTATCACTGACTATCCCATCAGGCTAGAAGTTACCTTTTAGCCAATCACAAATCTTCCCCCCACATTTTTTTTATGCAACGAAAACAACTATAGTTTTGCTAAGAGCTTGTGCAGCTAAGAGCACAATTAACTTCACCATGTTATTTTCCAGGTATTGAATAGGCTGTCACTAAATTACATCTTGCCAGGTGAATTGCACTAGTCTACCAAAGAGAACTTGCAGTATGAAACAGATTGGCAGTACCAGTTGTAATGCAGAAGTAGGTCTCATGTGGAGACACATGATGGATTCTGTGATGCTTCCGTGGCAGAATAACGTGCCAGTCCTGTAGAAATATGACCCAGCGTGGAAGACCAAAGTACGTGTGAGACCACTTGTGAATTTGGTTCGTCATGGTTATGAAGATGATAAGGGCAAAGACGTAACACTCCCAAGGACACGTTTCATATAATGCCTCTGCAAAACAAAATGTGTATCTTTAAATACCATTTATGAAAAGCTAAATTTCTACTAGGCAAATGATGCCTTGCTCAGAGCTGCCTGGCACTGCAGGAACTAACACAGGCCCCCACAAAGCTGCTTTGACAGAAGTGTCACAAGAGCCAGTGATCCATAAGCAATGCCAGAAAGTCACAAAACAGGCTGGTAAGTGCCAACATCTGTCAACTTGTCATAAACAGGAAGTTAAACTCTGAGTTTAGCATCTATAAAGTTAATTTAATCATTTAATTCTTTTAGTTTGCAAATAAAGTACTTCTGCACAGAGATGAAGCATTTTTATACACTTTAAAACAATTACTTTCCTTATTTACACACAGCGTGATCCCTCTTATAAAAAGAATATTTACTGTAACTTCTAATGCTTCATTGCAAGACTCTTCAGCCGCAGATTCTCTGTTGAGTTAGAGGATGTAGTGGTCCCACCTTCAAGTAAAAAAAGTTTCCCTCCCTCCTCCCAGGAGCATCATGCTTCCAACAGCTATGACTTGTCATCTTGCACTCCCTGATTTCTCCTATCTTCACACAGACAAACAGTCATTTAAATATCAACAAAAATGCTTAATTCACATAAGTCAGAAGTAACACCTTACCTGGGGAAAGAGAAACAAATTTGTATGCCATGTTTGCCAATGGGACTAGTGTCATAAAGCAGTTGTCTCCATTGGTCTCTATAAAATCATGTCTGGTAATTGCTGTGGGGTCAATATGATGTTCTCTAAAGGGCCTGATGAAAGCCTGAAAAAAAATAATTGATGAACATCACACTATGGCTCAATAATGATCTTGGATATAAAAATATAAAAAACCCCCAAAACCACATGCATTCAAATCTGATGACTGAGTTTAAGAGAGTTCCATAGTACAAAACATGTAAGTAAGATTTAAACTTTTGTGATGACAACACTTTAGATAATTTGATTTATATTTGCAAAGCAATTCAGTTCCCAAACTCAAATCCAGTTTTTCACTGCTTTTCAGTTTTATTCTCCTTAATTTTCACTTAGGACCTTCAGTCTCTAGATCTCAAAAAAAATCAGCATCCTAGTTTCACAGACAAATTAATCCTGTGAAATTCACAGATATAAGTCACTTGCTAGGGAGCATAAACCACGAAAACACTAAAAAAAAAGGAAATTCAGCCTAACATTTTGTATGGGCTACAGATGACAGCATTAACAGACTAGACACAAATTAAATGACTAGACAAACCAAATGTAAATCAAACAGATTATACAAAAGTCTCCTCTAGGAGTAGAAATCACATGTGAATAAACAATCCTAGAGGAGACAGAGCAAATGTGGTAAGTAGGACTGAGACAGTAAAACAAGTATACTTATTTGCCTTTAACACATACATCACATATGCAAAGGTGTCCTGATCAGCTGATCAGTCTGAACTCTTGTTTATTTAGTGCACAGTCTCTTGAAGTGCCTTTTTTTTTTTTTTTTTTTGGTCCAGCGATACAGGGATTCAAGGATTACTAAATCTATTGAAAGTGAACAAAACTAAGTCTAAAACCAACAGTCTTAATTCTGCTGTTCCAGTTCATGTATTTCTGGACAATTACAAGGAATATCCCAAATACTTTTTTTTTTTTTTTAATAGAGGTCCATCTAATATTGCATTGTGTGGAGTAACTAATGGTAGCTACAAATAATTTTATATTTAAAAACAGATTATTGCTTATTATAGAAGTCAATGCATCAACCACTAAGCATCTGTCATTTGTAGCTGCAGATGTATAATACATCTCAAAACTAAGTCTTCAGTCATCACCATTCTAATACTACTACATTTGCAAGAGGCCAGTAGTACAGGGAACTAGAAAGATTCCTTACTGGAGCATCTTCATGTTTTACAAAACAGCTTTTAGAAAGTTCATCTACAGGAACAATTCTCCACTTCTCTGTTTTTTGGCTCTTTGGAAGATCCACACTAGTCTGGGCCAGGTTTCTAAGCCTGTGGTGCCACAAGCCATTCCCACAGTGCCTCGGGAAGGTCTGCAAACACTGGTATTGCAAAACTGTGCAAACCTTAAACAAGGTGATAGAACAGAACAGTGTCACCTAGGCCAAGTGTAAACATGGCACTTCACCAGCAATACATCATGCCATTTAGTGGAGGAGGGCTCTGGGGGTGGGGAACAGGTTACATTGGCAAGACTGAAAGAAAGATACAGATTATATACACTCTCCAACACAGCTGGGAATACTGGAAGTGTTTCAGAAAAGTATTTCAAAACTTTTTCAAGCTTAAGGATAAGAATCTCAAACCTTTCCAACTATGGGTAGCTCCACAGATCCCCAGGTATCTGCTCCCCAGTGAAATAGTCCTGATAGGAAGTCAGCTGTAATAACTCCTGCAACTTGAATGAGGAGAGAGACAGTTAGATATACATGAGCATTTTACTGATGTATTCACAGCTTATACTTGTTTTACAAGTTTACTTCTTTATCTACTTCTAACAGATACTCACAACCACATGAGATCTACCCAATCTGAATAAACATAAGGTCAGGCAACTAAGAAAAAGAGGTAAACAAGACATCATTTGGATGATTACAATCATCCTTAAATCTACAGCAAGATTTTGTGTTTAACCCATCTTCTGTAGAGGAGCTTGACAAATCTTTGCAATTGCTGGTATGGAAAACACTAGCGAGTTAGAACTGAATCACTTAGATCTGCCCATCCTCTTCTTGAGTAGTGTTTAATGGATTACTTGGCTATAAAATAGCTGTTAAATCTATCCCAACAGATAATTCTATCTGCAGACTCTTCTCCCTTGGTCCTTTATGTCTGTAAACAAGAAGCACTGAACTCCAGTGGCTACAGATATGCACTAATTAAGAAGTCACCCCTGGCTACATCAATACTATTTACAAAATAAGACTGGAACATCAAACAACTTCAAGACTGTGACATCTGCGAAGCGATAGGCAAGGCCCCAGAAATCATGCTAATGATTGTCTGTAAGGGACATTGTACATTTGTGATATTTGCATACTAGGTTAGATACACCACTAAAGGTTGTTACAACAAGCATAAAGGTTTTTCTAGCTGCCAACCACAACAACTTTATAACTGTGGTCAAGTAAAGGTGATTTTCAGTTCTTACATGTAAAGCCCTATTTTTGCCTTCATGTTCTGGATAATCTATCTATCCAATTTTCTGGCTAATCCTGACATTTATGAGTAAGGACTTGAGAGATGTTATTTGACCAGAACAGCTGTATATTTTCCAGTTAGTCACAGATCTGTCAGACAGTGTTTTACAGACACCTATCACTCTTCACCTGCAGAAGTTGTAGGAGTCCCAGGTTCCCAATCCCTTTAGTAATGAAGTCTCCAACACAGTTTGAGATATCCTCCTGTCTGAGCTCTACTGCCAGGCTCTTTATGCTTTTGAGGAAGAAAATTCAGAAGAATGCTGAAGAAGTTTCCTTGTTTTGAAGATGGGCAAATGTGACACAGCACAGCAGTAATGCTATAGCAGCACAGCAAAGAGCAAGATATTGCCTTGGGACCTCTATGCTTGAGGGATTTAGGACTGACAGACCCTGCCCTTTAGAGAACAGATACACCAAGAGGTACCTGTTCAAGCCTGCACATCTTGTTCTAAGCAGGTTTCAAGAGAGATTAGCCAGGTCTGGATGCAGTCTAGATTTGCTGAAGAATGAACCAGACTAAAAATTTGGATTCTTTTTCACCTTAGTGTCATCCCTTCAGGTTAATAAAATAATCAGAAAAGATCTTTCTGTTCATTTTTTTCTGAGATCAACTACCTGGTGACTATGTATACAAGAATACTTGGTGACTGTAGAGCCAGCATTCAGGCTCTGAAGGGGGAGGGCAGCACACACCTGCTGGTCTGGTTAAAAGAATTCAGCAGAAGCACGACTCAGATATTAAAATAGCTACTGCGTACTGTGCAAATATGATATACCTGAGAACTGATAGTGTCTGATCTCCATGCAAATCCCTCAAAATCATACACAAAGTTCATGCCCATTAAAGCACTATATACTGTCCTTGCAGTGTATTGTTAAATGAGTCACAGCAACATAAAGATTGTGTGTTCAAAACACATGTTTCAGAGCAGCTCAGTTAGCAATTCCCTACTCTCATTTGGTGCTCAGAGCACAAGGCACAGTCACTTAATATTGGCATGTCTGGCAGTTCCCAGAGAAGCCTGAGAGTCCATGCAAACCACAGTGGTAATCACAGGGCCAGGTCAGAGTGGCTGGAACACAGTTCTTTAGTTTTCCCCGCTGATATTTACAAAAATTCAGTTGTTTACAGAAGTCACCCACTGTAACAGTCTTTGCACCAGAAACAGCATGGAGTTGCAAAACCAGAGGTGATACAGGAAATTTATTTTTTGCTCTGTCTGCCTCACCAACTCTTCTTCAGATGTCTGTGAAGCTAAAAATTCCTGGCTTTCTCCTCCACGAGCCCGTATTTGTTTCTCTGTGTGTCTGAATACTTTATTCAAGCACAGCTTCTCATTTATAGTATTGAATCTTTTTGTGATGAGCAGGTACCCCTCTGCCTGTTAAAATGTTAGGCAATACAATTCCAACTCACTTGTAAAAAAAAACAAAAGTTAAAACTGTTGGTATACTCATTCATCTTGCTTTGACTCCAAGGTATTTTGTTACTTCCCCCTCTCTCCCACAGAAACTTAAAAGCAATCTGAGATATGCCAGGGAGCAAAACAAATGTGCATCTTTCCCCAAAGATCACACAACTTTTATCTACCCTGGTCATGATCTGGACTTTGCCTGATTTCCCTACTCCAATCAGGATGCTTAGGTCAGCTGCCTTGAGAGTCCAGTTTAATTAAGTTCTTGTAACATCAGCAGGATTGCTAAAGAGCAGGTAATTTTTAGAACATGAAAGAGGATGAGATTGTTCTGTTACTATTGATCAAATGCTCTTTGTCTTCAGGGCACAGCAGTTACCTACAGTGCATGCAGCACAGCTTATTTCAGATATATCCCTTCTTGTGGTTACCTTTTGCTTAGCTGATCCCTCACCTCTGCAGTCCTTCCCCTTGCCTTCATTTTCAAAACAGAAGAAATAAAAATCAGGATTAGTATGGCCTCTACTACATCAAAAGTCTTTCTTTTTGTATTATTAATCAATTCTCACTGCTGCATCCATTATCTAGTTGGCCCAAACTCTTAAATACATCAGGAGACACTTCATCCTTTATGTAGCACTTTATTGTACTGAAGACATCTTATTTTTTATAAGCCACAAATTCTGTACACTTGTTTTTGTTTCAGACCATACATGTAAGCTACAGTGAGACAGGGTGGAGCACAACAGCTTTTAGATCTGCACCTAGCAGCTGAAAGAGCAAACAGCCTTGATTCAGGGGGAAGATATCCAAACAACGCTTCACTTTACAACAACTAAAATACCATTCTTGCTGCAGTAATCTCCCTATTAACCTGCACTGCCTCCAGCACACTGCATTATCAGAGCTTGAAATAAGAGCAGGAAGAACAACAGAAATAGAGGCAAAATACTGACGGTTCAGTAGATATTTCTCATGTTACTTTGATGTCAGCTGGTAGAAAGCTAAGAGGAAAGAATGAAGGGTGCCTGAAGCAGTGCATTATACTAAGGCAATCTGAAAAAAAACCCTCTAAATACCAGAAATTCTATTTCAGCTGTATTGTAGAAGGGCTTGCTCACTCCAGCAGTTGTGTATGATGACTCATTAAAAAAGAACAAAAACTGTAGCAGAGGTCATACATAACTAGCATCATAACACTTTGTTTGCATCCTGACTCAGAAGGCGCATCAGATGACAATGAACTGAACTCTACATTCTCACATAACTAGCAGTGTTTTTAGTTAAAGTGGGAAAATCAAGGCACAGGTGTTCAGCTACTTCACTACAGTGGTATAAGACCTTGAAGCTCTGTCATCAACATTGGGAGGGCAAGATAAGACTGACAGCCCTGAACATGAATTAAGAGTTAATCATAAAGTCAGAAAAAGCAGGATATCCACAGTATAGACATATATGAACTACAAACACTGGATTCACACACTTATTACAAGCAAGATCAGTAAAGCATTAGAGAAATACTGCTCTGTACACATTAGTTTTACTCCAGCCTGCTGAGCAGCGAGATGGGGGATCAGCTCATCTGTGGCTTATATCTGAAGAGGAGACAAGTACTCAGAAAACATGGAGGAGGGGAAGAAAACACTGCAGTTAAGCAAGCTGCGGAACTTGCTCAAAACACCAGGATTTCTTTGTTTTGGAAGTAGACTGCTGAATCAGGAGAAAAGAAAAAGGCCTGGCATACAGGGAGACCAAAGGTGTACAAATGAACTTCAACCAGTAGTAGATGTTTTAAAATAAGCGAACACAACTGACACACAGATTTGCTGGAATGGCACTCGGGATCCGCTGTGCAGGCATGCCCACAGGCACAGCAGCACCCTCGGCACACGGCTGAGACCTCCGGGTCGGGGACGTGCCTGAGCCTCACCGCCAGCACTCGGACACCAAAGTCACCTGCTGGGTGGTGGGTCGCAGGGCTGGAGGTGCAACTGGCCCTAATGTGTAATCGACACAAGACAGCTTTGATCCCGCTTGTGCTCTGTTCAGAAATCACATAAGAGGTAGCAGCTTGTGTCACAGAAAAACCCCCACTCCTCCTCTTCCTTGCTTAAGTACCAAACTGAGAGATTTTAACCTTAACAAAGGGCTTCTCTTGGGAGCAAGTCACATAATGCTTCCTGCAACCTGGCTGCTCCCAGGAACCATCAGAAAGAAGCCAAATGAGAGCGGGACATTTGCAGTACAGGGTGCTCAAGAGATAAAACTATTTTGCATGTTTGCAACAAAAAGTTATACTCCACTGAAATTTTACAAAGCCAAGTGTAAGCCTGGGTTTGCACAGATGTCATTCCCAAATTGCAATCCAGAAGCTGCACAGTAGAGTACATCAAGTTTCACATTTACTGTAAAAATTCAGTTAGAGCCTCAGGAGAAGAAAAAAAAACAGTGTAAGATGTTATTTAATAACTTGATGCTGTTGTATAACATCACTGAGAAGTAGCCACTTCTCATCAATGACTGCATGAACTAGTTGAATGTTATAGAACTAAAGAGTTGGGCAAGTGGCTAATTCCACAACAGGAAGAATTTTGTTTTCTCTGCTGAAGTAACAGTTGCTTGTTATTTATATGCTTATAAAAATGAAATGCGTTAGTCATCTGCATTCCACATTTAGTGGCTTTTAGTACAGAAAAGGCAGGGCTTTAATACTACAGCAAGTTATGAGGCTAAGAAAATAATCCCTGAACATTTCAATGAGTATAAAGTGTAGCAGCTTA